ATAGTAAACAAGGTCCTAGAATCAAGCCCCTCTTTAATGTCAATTATGAGGGCCATTGAAGAATGTGTAATGGCAGGGAGTGAATACTATATTTCTTATAACGGGCAATGTACTTAATGTTGTAGAATATTTCTTATCAAATGCTACCGGGTGGCAGGCATTTATTTCATCTTTATGAGCATCGTTCTCTCTGGTTACAGACGGGATCGTTGCCTTCGGTTTCAGCTATCTTCTATCTTCGGCTCCACGTGTCACTTCCTCATGCGATAATTTAATATAAACGTATTTTACCCTATACAGACAGTCCCCCTGCTTTCCAGTGGCATAACCTTGTGTCATCGGGAAGTTGGTAGAAACATCTTGTTTGGCGAGAAATTCACTGACCTTCTCTGAAAAGTTTTGACAGTTGATTAGACGCACGTATCTCCGCATTTAATGTCCCGAACATGTGTCATCCTATGATTTAGCATCACTTTTTCCGGTTATCAAGATAATTATGGCCACGAGTTTAGTCGCATATACCTTTACCTATACGCATCAACCTCCTTCATTTATACTTCATAATACTCTAAATTTTTTCAAAATTCTTTACTCAACTTATACTTTGTCTTTAATCTTTTTTTAACTTTCTTCTTTGAGAGAAAACCATTCTTCTCATAAAAAATGGCTTCTTCTTCTAGAAGCCCTAGTTCTTCAAAGAACAAAGGTAAAACTGATGATGCTGCTATCCCTATGGTGAGTACCATCATCCCAAAGAATTTGATTACTACCAAAGATTTCGAAGAGAAGTATCCTTCTACTCACCCTTGTACGTGGGCTGTCAGCGTATACCCTTCTTCTATTCGTCCTTTCAGTATCCCTGATGTGAAGGAAGACTGCCACTGTCAAAATTTGGACATTATCTCTCCCAACCTTGCGGAGCGGATAACTTTATCCAAGAAGGGTTTTACATATTTTTATACGTATCTCTTCACTTTGGGAGTGTTTTCTTTGAGTGGAGAGCTTGACTCCGTCATTGTGGAGTTCTGCCTCCGCTATCAGGTGTGCTTGGCATAGGTAAGTCCTTCCGTGTAGAGGACAATCGCTTGTCTTCGCACCTGTGTCAGGAGACGGGAGAAGAGATATCCCTAGCTCGAGTGATGAACCTCTATTCCCCAAAATCTTCCGCGGGGGAATGATAAATTTCAGCAAGCGTGGCCACCATGCACTGCTATCCAGCATGGATGATGACAACGACCGTGGGTGGATGGAACGGTTCGTTTCAGTCGCCACGGGTGACTTCATCGCGGCCACGGCTCCAGCTTTTCCGGAACTATGGAACCGCACTCGTAAAGTGGATCGGAAGGAGTATAACGGTAAAGTTCAATTAAGAAGAGTATTTAAAAATAATTTAAAAAATATTAATTATTATATTTACTGGACTAAATTTCTCAATTTCTCTCCTCAAAATGAGTAATAATTATTGAAAGACTTTTTAAAAAATTGTAATTTGTGACTTTTGATTTCTTAGAGCAATACTTATTTTGAATCAAATTTATTTTATTAAAATAGCATTTGAATAGATCTGGAAGTAGTACATAAACTCTAAAGTGTAGGCACGCTTATATATTACTCCATTTTTTTTTTCTTCAAAATAAAAGGTTTCATCACCCATGTTATGTTCGTGGCACATGTAATATGAGGGGCCCACGTTCACGCGTTTGAGAGCAAGTGGCCCCACTTCTTAGTTCACAATTTATCTTTTTGACTCCATATTTTCCCTTAGCATAACGGTCTATCGATTATTAGCTGTAAACCAAAAAATCCAATTCACAAATTTCTACAACAAGAAGTTATTTTTCTCCTTTATCTTTTCTTTCCTATAGATAATTTGAATGAACTCATTCACAAGAATCAAATATTTCAGGCCCCGTGTACATATCCGCTAAGGTAATTCTAAAATATAACAAGTTGCTTAGATCGATTAAGATAAAGTCATTTATATTAAAAAAAGAATATGAACAAAAACAATCAAAGTTTAATACAATTTTAAACAAATTATTTGGAGGCGATAAAGAAAGAATATGCTCCTTCGAGTTAACTCGAGTACCAACAACTCAATTGTACATTCGAGATTTCGAGTTGACTTGAATGCAACGACTCAAATGCTAGTTAATTTTTTACTTGAACTATATATAAATTTTAAGTTTTTCATTGTGTCATGTTCTGTATCTTGATTGAGCTAATTCATTATTACTTGGTTCTCTAATCAACTTTTAAAATAATGGGAATGTATAAACATAATGTTCTCTCGACTAACTCAATGTTGTTTAGTTAAATCAGATTTTCTTAAGTTTTTTCATTGGATAGACGAGTTTTAATATGGACAAATTCACCAAATGATGAGAATCAAGTAATGGGTTAAGGACAAATCAACTAAGTATCATCAATTTATTTGATGTTGGATTATTTGTATGCATTGGGCAATTGTCGCAGCCAAAGAATATTATAGATAGAGATTACTAAAGCAAAGTTGCACATGAAAATGGACCGTAGCGAAATGCGTTACGCAAACAAAAAAGCTTAGGGACTAAGGCATGTGGGAGAAACATTACTGCATGTTGCAGTTGTTGTGCTAAAGACAATATTCAAAGAATTAGGAAACAACAAAATATACATACATATGCATGTATTCTTTTTATTTTTCCCATATAATTTTTGATATCGGCATTAGAGACTGACTAAATATAGATTTGAGTTGAAAATTTTCATACCGAAAGATAAAGCGTTACATAATTAGAGCAATTCTATACCCAGGACTCGAACCCAAATATATATACATGTATAGAGAGATGGTGTAGTAAATTTGTTGATCATATTGATTGAAGGAATAAGAACAAAATAAAGACGGAACATATAATAGACATTAAATAAATTCCATTTTGAATGGCCCCTTTTGGATTGCGTTATGATATAAGGAAACAAAATGGTCAGAGAAACATCCGCTGACTACAATTATTCATTTCACTTGCCCCTCAAAACTCCTCCTTGTTACGTGCCTCTACAGTGAGTTTATTTCAAACTAATAAATGATATGTATTTATTCAGAGAGCTCATGTGACAAATTAAACTAAATATTGGCTCATGTGAGCGCCAAAAGGTAAAACTTTATTAGCTCGAGAGTTTATTTCAAACTAATAAATGATATGTATTTTCACTTTAGTTAACTATATATATGATTGAATCCTTTGATTTTGGCGTTTACACATTTTATCACTTAACTATGATTAAATGATATGTATTCTTATTTTAAATTTTAACTATATTGGTTAAATAATTTGATTTTGATGTAAACATTCGGTACGAATAAATATTTAACACCGCGAAAGTCCCTTTGAGGTGGTTTAATTGTCCATATCATCATCAATTATCCTCCAGTCATCGTGAAATATCTATTTTACTATTTGTTATGTATCATTTCATCGCTCGTTAGAGTTTTGGTAGTCACTGTCCTTCCAGAAAATAACGGTTAGTTGCCGCCAATTGGCATCCGTTATCATAAACGAATTCAGGATTTAAATATTATAAGTTTAATTTTGAGATTCTACTACAACTATTTGATTTAATGGATGTACGGTGTCTATTATTTGTACTTTATTTAGTAAAGTTTTTATTACATATAAATTCTCTATCGATATGTTCCTCAAAATATCCGACTCGACGATTTCTTCCCCCAACTAAAGAAGAGATCTTGCGAAGAAGAAGATGAAAATTATAGAATATTGTGGAAATTAGAAACATGGAGGGTGCCATGCCATAGAACTCAAAGCATGTGGGGGTGGGGTAAGAAGGGGCATGGGTCCTCCAAAATATATGCATGAACATTTAAGTTGTACCTTTCCTAAGCACCCTGGCATATGGCTGTGTTTCCTAATTTAGGAACCCATGATGGAAGCAATGTGCGGCATTTTGCATGTAACTCAAGTCCAAACAAAAACCCCTTACTCACTTGTCATGGCATTTTAGATCATTACTATAATAAATAGCTAGCCCCATATGCCACTCATTTTCTTGAATGTGAAAGATTCATGGCATACCATTCTTCCTTTGAAAGATCCAAAAATCTATTTATAGAATGATAACAACAGAATTACCCTTGTTATACATTTCAAAATATGTAACAAGACGTTGTTTCGGAAAATAGGTGATATGGTTTGATCCTACAATAGTAAAATTTGGATCTTCGCTCTAATTATGATGGTCTAAGATTCTTGGCCATACCTTGACTTACTAATCATATCATATAGGTTGCAACTAATGGCCATGTCTATTAATTATTTGCTTTTCCTTTTTTATCGCATTTCACAATCATAGGTTAAAATCGTGCAGCCTAACCATTGATGAAAACGCTATCACACAATAAATTTTTGAGCTTTTCATGTGCAGGACGAGTATATTTAAACCACTTTTGTGTATTTTCTTCATAATCAAAGCAAAACCATTGATCGGCCACATAAAATATAAAAGAAGCAAAACCGCGGTATGTTATGTTATCCCCTTGATTTACCCTGATCTGGATAATATAATGTCATATAAAGACAAATATACTTGGACTAGTAAACTCAATTTTCATTTAGATTATGAATAATACTTTATTCGGCAATGAATACCTCGATTGAATCATGATTTCCAGTCACATGAAGTATCTATGAGATTATACATTTAAAATTATGCGGAAAGTTGAAACCAATTAAATAAGAATACATAATAGAGAAATTTTTTGTGCAACAAAAGTTATTGTTTAGTGATGAGGGGCTGAATTTGGTCACTTTTTGACTAAAAAATTATTTCTTTCACATATTAGTTGATTTATGAATTATGTCAGTTCCAATAAGCCAACTGGTAACTACTAATGAGATAAAGAAAAAACCAAAGAAGCTCTATTCCTCAAGTTTTTGTGGGGTCCATTAGTTTAATTTGGTTGCCAGACCAGAAGGCCTAAGAAAAAAAAGCAGCAGCACTTTCACTGCATGTTTCTCTCAAGAAAATGCAACTACAAAACCCCCTCAATCCCCTCCACATTCTCCCTCCCTCACAATCCCGAAATCATTTCCAAGTTTTCCTTTTTTTCTCATTCAGGCATTTTCACAAACACGTAAAGGACAACTTCAGCTTGCATTAGCATTCATCAATGGCCAGACCACAACAACGATACAGAGGTGTTCGCCAAAGACATTGGGGTTCTTGGGTATCTGAAATCCGTCATCCATTACTGTATGTACCAATTATTCAAATATATATTCCGTAATTTAAAGTTGTTGAAGTGCTCTGTTTTTTTAGGCTAAACAATGCTCTGTTTTTTTGTTATGTTTTGCAGGAAAACAAGAATTTGGTTAGGGACATTTGAGACAGCAGAAGATGCGGCAAGAGCATATGATGAAGCAGCAAGATTAATGTGTGGTCCAAGGGCAAGAACTAATTTCCCTTACAACCCAAACATGCCGCAAACATCTTCCTCAAAACTTCTTTCAGCAACTTTAACAGCCAAATTACATAAATGTTACATGGCTTCACTTCAAATGGCCAAAAACTCAGCACAAGAACAACACCACCAACCACCTCGAAAAATTCAAACTTCATATGCTCAGACAGCAGTAGCCAATGTTGGAAATCATGTTGCCTATGAAACAAAACCACAAATGTTAATGTCAAAGCCAACATTTTTAGCACAGCAACAAGAAGCAGCAGCAGGGGTTAATTGGGAAGTGATGAAAGTTGAAGCTGTAGAGCACACACCACAGTTTATTAATACACTTGAAGAAGACCACATTGAACAAATGATTGAAGAATTACTTGATTATGGCTCCATTGAACTTTGCTCAGTAGTTCCTTCTCATCAGTAATTGTCTTACCATTTTGCTAATTTTAACTGCCCAGTCTCTGAGTTGTTTCTTTCTAGGGGAGCCTTAGAGCAGCGGTAAAGTTATTTCTGTTTGACTTATGGTTTAAGGGTTCGAGCCGTGAAAACGATTACTAATGTTTGCATTAACACCTTCCGGGCGACCCTTACCCCAATTCTACGCGAAATGTTTTGTGCACGAGTTGTCCAAAGTTGTTTCCTTCTTTTAAAAAACATAGTATGTACCATTAGTAGAAATTAGGACTTATTATTTTTTCTATCTTTTGGTTCCTAGAATTCTTGTTCTAAGAGAACTATCTATTAGTTAGAAGATGATGTATGTACAGTGTAGTATGTTTACTGCTACCATTGTTGTGAAAAGAATTATTATTTCTAATATATATACCATATTCATTATTTATTAATTTTTGGTGTAATGCCATTGAAGAAGAACTTGAAACAACGGTACAGTTGTCTTTGTATAGCCTATAGGTTACGGTTTTGTGCCGTGGAATCAATCACTCATGCGGGTAAGCTGTCTACATCACACCTCGGTGCGATCCTTCTTCGAACTCTACATAAATGCTGAATATTTCATGCACCGAACTGTCCTTTGGTGCAATGCCCATTAACACTCATATTACGGGTTCGGCCGAATCTAGTAACTTTGGTTCAAATCTTGTATTTATCTTTTAAAAATTACTTAATTATATATAAATATTAATTTAGAACCCAATAATTTAAAAGAATTATAATATCGAATCCATAAGTTTAAAATCTAACGTCTCTACGGTTAACACTAGAGAAGTAAAAGAGAATATAAAACTAGCTAGCAGAAGAGTCTTTGGTATGGGACCGTAAATTACGGATGATTATTACGTAAACAAACGGAACATTCGCCTAGCCTTTTGCATACATGTGAAGAGAAGACTTTTTTGCTCAAGTTACATAAAATAGATATGCGGATTGATTTATTTTGGCGTAATCTTTTGCCACTTCATATATATTACATTCAGCTAACAAGAAAGTAATCTTAAATGGCAATATTTTAAGGTTTTAATTAAATGATACTCCGTAATTGTTTTCGAAAATGAGTTAATTAATTAACTGCTAATGAGTTACCCTTTTTTCACTCTTTCTTTCTATATCTGAAAGAATCAACAGCACCTGGTTAATTGATTTTGCATCTCGAGCAACAGACACACAGTATAAAAGTGAATAATTAATTTTTTTTCCTTAAGTTTTGGTTTTTGCATCTTGAGCAACATACTTGTTTATTACTTATGCTTAAGTCCTAATATTATGTAAAAAAAATAATACCTCCAATGTTTTTATTTATTGGTGCATTTATGGGGCAAATACATTTTTTCACGTCGCTATGATCGCACTACTGCTTGTAGAAATTGGCAGTTTGGCAACTCTTTTTTTTTAATCCCTTTATCTCCCTTTTCTTATTTTCATATTTTAAAAAATAATTTAATATTTCATTTTGCTTTAAATTTCTAGTTTTTTTTCACTTTTAGATGCTTTAAATATTACTTAAATTAGTATCCGATTAATTCTCTGGAATGAGAATAACAGACCCACCTTAACTTGGATATAGAAATCATAGATATCCATATCCCCACCCCACTAAACTTTTTCAACTAGATCAAAGTCTCCCCTCCCCCCCCCCAACCACCCTCTCTCTTATAAAAAGACAAGAATGTCTTTCTTTTATTCTTTTAATCTATGCCATTTTATTTTTGTTGAATATGCTTATACCCTTTTTGTTATAAAATTTTAATTACCAAAACTATACATTTTTTTTTGGTTTCAGAAGCAGAAAACAAAAAGATTGAAGATCTGTTTCATTCTATTTTATTTTTTTCGAACAGTCGAAGGGCGCTTTGTGCAGTAGCTAGGAAGAGTAACTTTATATAGTTTGAGTTGGGGCATTCACATTTTCTTATATTCATGTATTTTAAGAGCACTACTCTTGGCCTTTATTTCTACACAAAAAAGTAAAAAGCAAAAAAAAAGTAGCCAAAATATTTCACGTTGGAGAATGGAGAGTTAGATAAATATGTGTCGAGTACCCTCCACTTTCAACTAATAGGTTGTGAGTTCGAATCATCCCAAGAGCAAAGTGGAGAGTTCTTGGAGGGATGGAGCCGAGGATCTATCGGAAACAGTCTCTTTACCCCAAGGTAGAGGTAAGGTCTGCGTACATACTACCCTTTCCATACCCCACTAGTGAGATTATACTGGATTTTGTTCGAGAATGGAGAGTGAATCCTTTTTCGAATAATGGGGAGATTGAGCATGAAAAACATAGATATGCAGTGGGATTGCTGCTGCTAAAGTGAAAATGACAACGAATTGCCATTTATTAGTCTGACTTTTCTCATCTTTTTATTTTTTGTTTTGTCTCTTTATATTTTGAAGAAATTTTTGCATCTTCTACTCACTATTTCATTCTTTTTCCACCATATATATCTTTAACCCTCTCTAATATGAAAAATTGCTGGTGAGTTTCTATTTTTCAGAAGTTTCATTGAGATGATTGCCCCAAAAAAGATAAAGAATTTATTTTTATAGTGTTAGAGTTGAATGGTCATGATAGATTAAATACTTTTTCTTTTATATGGTTTTATGCCTCTTATGGTAAACCATGGGAATTCTAAAACAGCTCAATCCTTTTCATAGGTTTTCATTTTCACTGTCATTTTCATTTGAAAATTCATACCGCCAATCATTGGTGAAAAGGTGAAAGAAAGAAGAGAAAAACACTTTCATCTAGAGGCAAATAAAAATAAAAATTGAACAGCCCATCCAAGTCGCTAAAGGACCTGGTATATTGAGCTAATGACCTCGCCTCTGAAATAAACCATCGCACCTATAGTCCAATCAATTCAAAGAGAATCAATCAATTCTTTTTTGGAGTGATTCATTCTACCCAAACAAAACATACACCTCTTTGTTGTACTATTATCTCCAAGTATGCTTGTTCCCTCCTTTTTTACCCTTACAATTAATTTTTTTTTTTGAAATAACCCCGATTAGAAAAGACATTAAAGAGACCTTCCTGACAGGTTAATTTCACTGATAGTCATTGAGCTATCTTTCAATTTCACTAAAATTATTTAACTATTTTTTGTCACTTAAAAGTAACTAAACTTTATCATTGTCACTTAAAAGTTATTTTGCCTCAAACCCCTACCATAAATATGACATGACATTAAATTTTATGATAAAAATCCAAAAATAAATACCACATAAGCTAATATGGGTCATACCCATTTTAGATCTATTTATCCTTTAATGTGATTTGACCCATAATCCAAATGAGTTTCGATGTTTGGCATATTTCGATATGTATTGATGTTACTTTACCCATATTTTAACCGCTTCTTGATATTATTGGATCTTTAAAATGCCCAACATGGTTTAATTATTGGTTTTATGACTAAATGAGTTGTGTGTGGTGAATTAGGGTGTTTGGAGTGCAAAAATATGAAGAAAAGGTGCTCTAGGTAGAGGAAGAGAGATTGGATGCGTCGCATCCAATCTAGAAAAAGATCAGATTTCGTGCACCCTTAGCAGTGAAGTCGGCCCATAGCATCCACCTTAGCATCCGCACCTGGGCAAAGCTGAGATGGAGGAACAAAGGGTGGATGCGTCGCATCCACCCTCGCATGCAAAGCTGAGAAATAGAGGACAAGGTGGATGCGTCGCATCCACCTTCGCAGGCAAAATTGAAATGGAGGACGAGGTGGATGCGTCGCATCCACCTTAGCATCAATCCCTGAAGCCGATTTGGACTAGGAATAGGAGAGCTTTGGCCCACGACTTTTGTACGCAATATATAAGCCAAAAACGCCTCCTTTAGGTCATGGAACATATTGGAGAAGGGGAAAAAGCCACAACAAAGTTCTAAAATCACGGAATTCGTCTTGAGTTCCTATTCTCTCTTTCTTTTATTGATTCTTATGCACTCTTGTGAATTTTTGATGATTGCCTGAATATGAGTGGCTAAGAACCCTATTGTTCTAGGGTCATGGGTATACATGAATGTTGATGTTTGAAGTTTAATTTGACGAAGTTGATTTTATCATATTGGGTTGTTTATTTAATTCTGTTTTTAATTATTTTGCTGAGTAGCTAACAGTGAAATACTATCTACGAATCTAGAGTTGAACTCGAAAGTGGGAACTCTAGATTGCATATAGAATTAAATAGAGCAAGTTCTTAAACCCGGGCATCGGGGAAAGGATTCGCAATTGGGATAGACATATACCTAATTGCCTTGCTCGGTTGCAATACAGGAATTGTAAATGCGTTCTTGTTAAGTTTAATTCCATAGACATATAGGTATTAAGTTAGCTTGAATAGGCGAGTAAGGGCTCGACAGATTCTTATGAGTAATATCAACCCTGTGAACCAACAATCTAGATAAAGCAATTAGTTATTTTAAGCTAAGGATGCAACATGATTGTTAAATAACCCGTGACCCTGAAATATTATCTCCCATTAATTGTTATTTAAAACTATTTAAGTGTTGTGTTAATTTTTGGTATTCCATTACTTGATAGTCTTTAGGTAGTAAATTAGACAATTATCTATTTTATAAGAAATCGCTTGAATCGATAAGCTATTTGAGTTTGAATTAGTCAAAAGTTAATCATAAGTCCTCGTGGGAACGATACTCTATTCACTACTCTATTACTTGACGACCACGTATACTTGCGTGAGTGTGTTTGGTCCCAACAAGTTTCGATAAAAAAAAAATATTAAGTTCCACATTAGTTTAAAATATTTATCATATACTACAAAGTTTTGCCTTTTCTGTTACATAATGCACATTCATAATTATTTTATACTAAAATAATCTATGCTAGAAAATTCTTATTTTGTTTGTATGCCCCATCCGAGTCATTTTATAACTCTGCTAAAGCAAAAATACTATTGTATCCAAACTAATATGCTAGAAAATTCTTATTTTGTTTGTATGCCTCATCCGAGTCATTCATAATTATTCTATACAAAAATAATCTATGTTAGAAAATTCTTATTTTGTTTGTATGCCCCATCCAAGTCATTTTAAAATACTATTGTATACAATAGTATTTTAGCTTCAGTAGAGTTATAAAATGACTCGGATGAGACATACAAACAAAATAAGAATTTTCTAGTATAAATTATTTTAGTATAGAATAATTATGAATGTGCATTATGTAACAGAAAAGGTAAAACTTTATAGTATAGGATAATCATTTTAAACTAATGTGAAACTTAATATTTTTTTTTTATCGAAACTCATTTGGATTATGGGTCAAATCACATTACACTACTAGAAATTAGGCAAAACCCGTCAAAAAATCGGCCAAAAAATCGACCAAAGTTGGTCGGTGTTTCAAAATA